TCCTGTCCTGCTACGTACAGCCTACACCGACGTACGGAGTACGTACGTCTGTCTACCGTCTACCCCGTAGGTCTGGGGGGAGGGGAATAGAAATTTCGAGTCAAACCAAAGTACCGGGATCATCACCGGTCCAGATACGAGGCGCGAAAAGCACGCTGCATATTGCTGCAACTGCAACAGCGGCTGACTAGTTCCCAGGCATTTGGTCCGTCTGACTTGAAGATGCCTGTCTGCCCTTGTGCTCAGCGCAAAGGAGCGGCCAGAGGCCAGGAAAAGAAAAGAAAGGAAAAGAAAGGAAACTAAAGAGAGGCCAATGAGCGACGTTGAAACGTCACAGGAGAAGTAGACACGGATACAGCAGCAGGACGACGAGTCTGTTTCCGGCAAAGCTCCTCCTGTTGGTGTGAGTCTTTTTTTATTTCTTTTCCTTCTCTTGCATTCGAGATGGGCTGCCGAAAGAGGTTGTTGGTGGTGTTGTGGCTGAGTCAGGCTGCTACTCGATCCAGACGTACATTCGACACATTGGTTTGTCTTTGTCGCACCTTTTTTCATGCATGGGCCGCCCGAAACGATTTAGCTGCCCATGGACCACACGTACACGGACACGCAACTACACACCACACACATACGGAGTACGTACTGCTGCGCACGTACTCGGTACTCCGGTACGGCAGGACAAGATTGGCGGGTTGGTCATGGGTCACGGGTCACGGGTCATGGGTCATGGGTCATGGGGGAGATGGGATGGGGAGATCTGGCAGAGGGGGGGACGGGGGACGGGGGACGGCACGGAAGTGTCGAGACCAAGGTCGCAGATGGTTTTTCGCGAACGGCTCACCCCTGACCGAAATCTTGATGGTTTGGGCTTGGACACTTGGCCCCTACGTGAGGCGATTGCCCTTCTTGTCTCGGCCGAAGTCAAAGATGGCTTCCCTTGGGAATGGCGGGATGGGAAGGGAGACATGCCACAAGTTGCAACGCACCACCGGCAGGGCAGGGCAGGGCAGAGTGTGGAACAAGGGGTTCTGGGCTCTGGCCCTGATTACCGTCTCGGTGGTCCATCAAGGTCATTCCTTATGCACGTCTTGTTCGTGGTCGGCGACGGAACCCCAACAACCCCCAATGCTAACGCTGCCTGGTTGCTGGGCTCGTCGTCACACACGCATCATCATGCTCTTCCTGACTGCCTTCACTGGGTGCTCGACCCCATGTGCCGGCTCCAATGGAAGCGCGAGACCGAAGAGGCTCGAGGCGGCGCGTTCGCCCTGTCCCTTGGACGCCGGACGATGGAGAAATCGCAAAACTGATTGAGGGATTTGTCATGCCCTCACCCAGGCCCCGAGTTGACCGAGGCGACCTGTGGTGATTGGGAATCGGGAGGGGGAAAAGCAGATGCCGCAGTTGGGGCTGGCTCGCTGGGCTGGGATATGCCGCCAGGGCTTGGCTTGCTGACGGTATACACTACACTACATACATGGGGGGGGGGCATCATGGAGAGTGAGTACAGCGTCGGAGGACTGCAAGTACGTTGCGTGCTGCCGCCTGGGTAAGTTGTGCTCTCGACGTCACAGACTTCCGATATTGGCCCAAGCCAACCACACAGGTCACGCAACAAAGGGCTGATTGGCGCTCTGTTTCTCGGTAGGCTAGCCGGTGGAGTCGGCTTTTTGTATTCTTCATCATTTCCCGGCGGTGCGGTTACTCGAGCGGGCTCATCTCGCTGCTGCAAGGTCGATCCAGACAGGCGCCCTCAGTTGAGGCTGTTGGCTCCCGGCCAGAATCGGCGGCGGCGGGCACGAGCATACCGAGTACGTACGTTCACATACGGACGAGGTACGGAGCGTGGGTGGGTTGTAGTTGAACCCCGGGGTGGTTTGCACAACTACTGGCGGGCATGTTGTCGCGTATGCCACGGGCTTGAACGACGAGTCACCATGGCAGACGGATCCCTCGGCCGCAGTACTCTGTGCAGACACGCACAATTCGCCTGGTGTGGGCTCTTGAAATGGACGGGCATCCGAAAGATGAAGAAGAAGAAGCGAGAGAGAGGGAGAGGGAGAGGGAGAGAAAGACCGGGAGGCAGACCGAGAGAGAGAGGCCGTGATATTGCGCCCGCCCGCTGTCACAGTGCTCTCCTCCCTCGGATCTGGACGAGTAAGAAAGCCACTCGAGTCCAAACTTTTGCGTGGTCTGTGTACGGAGAAAGGTCCCTTGGCTTTGCAAGGTACCTAAGACACACACACTCTGGACTCTGAGCTCGGCGGACGCTGGCCTCTCCGCATGCCCACGGCCATGGCCTCACTCACCATCTCTTTGGCACATGTGGAATGTCATGTCTGAGACAACATCCCACATTGCAAAATCAACAAAACAAAACAAACTCAGGCGACATGGCAAGGCGGGAAGCGTTCGTCCTAGTCTCGCCAACCAACCTGTCACGCCCATCTCCATCTTCCCCAGAATGCTCCCGGCACCGGCGGGGCGGTCCGCAGCACTCTCTCACTCATCCATATATATATCCCTCTGGGACAGTACGGCGTTCCTAGTCACGAGTGCTACTGGCACTAGGACCCCCGGGAATGGCGTGAGAGCTTGGAAATCATTCGGGCCCGGGGGTTGTAACTTGCAGCTTGCAACCGCTGCTCGGCGCTGCTGCTCGCTGCTCAATGGCAAAACGTGGGTGATGGATGATAAGCAGCTCACTTCCGTACTCCGTCCTCCCTTCTCCGTGGGACTGCTACTACCGAGCGCAGATCGTCCCTCTTGCTGTCTCGAAAACACGGAGCCATCCAACATCTAACCCTTGGGCCTTTCCAGAAGGTCCTTCTCGACCAAGCCTTTTGTCTTTTCGACCTATGCGCCGGCCGGACGATTGTCCCGCTCTCCCATCTCCCATCCTTGCAAGGTGACGGGAGTTTGATCGAAAATTGGGTGGCTGGCTGGAGATGATGGCGACAGCCGTCGTCCAATATTCATGGTCGAGTGTGAGTGACGCTCCGTGTTTCGCCATCACGGGAGATGGCAAAAGGAAATTATTCGACTACAAAGAACAAGAACCAACAATGAAACTTTGGTTCCATCGGGACTATGCTCTGGTTTACAGAGTAGTATAGGAAAAAAAAAATAAAAAAAAAGAAAAATCTTCGTCTACATGCACGCTTCCGCATGTCCTCTCACACTCGAGGGAGACTATCTATTCCGTCCCTTTCCCAAGCCGCGGGAAGTGCGTCACCGTCTATCTGCCCACGAAGCCAGCTGCAAAGAAAAGGAAGCATTCGCTATAGAGTGCTCCGCAGAATCTCAACACGATTCAAACATTCATAGTAGAGGCCCGAGCTTGTCATCGTCAGTGGACTCCAACTCGGGCACCTTGACGCCGTCTAGTCTCTCGTCATGTACAATGTACGATGCACATGGCCAATGGATCGAAATCCTCATCATCCCACCTCCTCAATGCCCAGAGATGGATGGGTGCAGCGTGCTTGGAAACGCGAGGCGCCGCTCTTCGTGCCGCTGCTCAATGGCGCCGAGCAGGAGGCGTTTGTGAGACTGAGGCAGAAGAGGTTTGAGGAGGCGTGGGGGATGATTGATCTCAGGATCACCGCAACAGGCAGCGTATTTCGACTCAAGTACGGCCTGGCCTTGTGCGTGGCTCCCGGCTAGCTTTCATCGTGACCGCTTGTACTACATGGTGATACGTATTCTACTCTGCGGACATGTGCGAAAACTCGCCCGTGTCTGAGACGTGGGTTCTGCGCGGTCAAACTTCTCAAGTGTCCGGCTTCTCAAGTATGTCGCCAATGACCGTAGCAAGCAACGGGACATGTGCGCGCTCTGACGGAAGCACAAGCATGGGCTTGCCTTGCGTCGAGGAAGCGGCAAAGTCCAACGCGAAGGGAAATTGGGAAGACGTCTGTTTGGCCGGCCATCCGGCAGAAGAATGCGCCCTGGGCGGCATGAGAAGAGCGAAAGGTCTGACTCCTGTGCCAGTCCACGTCGTTCCGTTGCCGTGGATTTATACTCGCCGTGCACGCCATGTGTACGGCTTCGTTGGGAAGGGTTGTCCCCATTACCTTCTGACGCGCTATTATAACCGGATAGTGACTGTGATCATGGGGTCTAGGAAAGGACAGCATGTTGACATGAAAACAATACGCAACATCAGCTGTCCGTCGCACCGGCGACACTCATCATGGAGCACTTTCCCACCAGAAGGGAGCAGCAGCACCGACGAAAGGCACCTTTTGGCATGCCTACTTGGCCCGATCCAAGACGGGCTGATCGAAATAGTCAAGCATCGGGCGTTAGAAGCCGTTTCGCCCGTCCCAGAGGCCATGGGCAACCATGATGCAATGGCTTCCGCATACGCAGCCGGCATCCGGAAGAATTTGGTCATGTCGAAAGTCCCAAGCCGGTCGGCCTTATCATTTCCGAAAAAGAATGTTCCTCGTGAAGTCTGCTTGGATCGGCTGCAGAAGGAGGGAGCACGCCAAGTCGTGGTACCCCTTTCCATGCCTCATGACAAAATTTGAAGCTCTTTGTTGATATTGACGACTTCAGAGAGTTGCTCTGTCCCCGGATGGACCAGTCAGCCCCAGACTATCGACCATCGGGGGAGCATACAGTCTGGGAAGTATGGTTTCGCAAGACTGATGCAGGCACCGGAGTTGTTTGGAGTTTAATCAGTGCCAGGGCCATTGAAGTCAAGCAAACGGTCAGAGACCAATTATTCAAGGGCTGGGAAAGCCGGCACAACAAGGAACCCGCATCCCGTTCGACAGTGGACAGATAGGATACACGCGCATGTACAGCAGGGAAAGGGAGGTTTCCATACCAACCTGGAATGGCAAGGCTGTGACCGGAGCTGGTGGTGAAACGCACTAGCTAGGAAAACGGATGAAAAGTCTAGCAATAACTACGAGGCACATGTCCAGAAGGCAAGAAAGAGTTCTTGTCGAAAAAGAAGAATCAGAGACTCTTCCGCGTGTCCCGCGTCCCTCTCAGCCGGAAGCGACCTCTTGTAATCCCCGGATGGCAACCATGGCACCCCAAGCATCGGGATCGGGGGGCAGTTCTTGACCGTCACCCGAGCCAGCACCTACATAAGCTGCTCTCCCTAATCGAGGCTTCATCTTCTTGGTAGCCTCGGCACCGTCGACGGCCGCTTGGACTCGGCCACGCCAGCCAGACTTGCTCAATGCTTCGGCAAAGGGGATCAAGGTGTCCATGACGGTGCGGTCACCAACCTTGGCAGGCGTATATCGTCGCAGATTGCCGAGTGCGGCAGACAGGGCCGTTGCCCAGAGAGCCACGGGGCCTTGGGTGTCGGCCAGACTGAGTTGGCTTCCAGAGCGGACCGGAGTGACACGAAGAAGATGCCCAGGATCCCCCCCCCCAACGTGCCGCCCATCTTCCCTTCCACAATCTCCCCCGGCTCAAGCAGGACCTTGACGACGGGGCCGGGCCTTGCCAGGCCGCCGTCAAGGGCAGCCATCAAGCCGGTGGCTCCCGCCTTGAGCGTCTCGCCGCAATCGCCGTCTCCCATGACGGTATCCCACCCGGTCAGGTCAGGCTCGGCCTTGACGAGCGGCACGCACGCATTCCGCAGCATGCTTTCGAGCAGGACGGGGTCCAGCTTCAAGTCGCGTCTCTCGTCCACGGCCTGGGGTATTTCCTTGGAAGCAGGGACCAGCTACTCCTGACGACTTCGCCGCGGAGCCTGGGAGCCTGCCATGGACTCCCGGTGCGTATTGGTCCTGGCGTCGAAGAGGGCCTTGATATCCTCGACCGAGTCCCTGCAGTTCCCTGACGCGGCAGTGGCATTGTCGACGGAGACGGAAAAGGCAGGGCATTGAGAGATGTTTCGAGAAAGCCGTCGCAGATGCGGACCGGCTCCATGTTCCTACGGCGCCGCAGCTGCTCCAGCAGCTCATCCACCAGAGCGCCCATTTCGAGATGCGGCATGGCCCCGAAGTTGGAGACGTCGTCGCCGCAGATGATGATGCGGCAGCTGTGTCCACGGGCGTTGGCCTTTTCGTTGGCGAGGCCAAAGTGCAGACAGTCGCCAGTGTAGTTGGTGATGACGAGAATGGTGCCCTTGTCGCTGGGCACGGCTTCCACTCCGGCTAGGATCTGCCTCGTGCTGGGACTGGCAAACATGTCCTCCTGGACCGAAGCTGTGAGCATGTTGGTGCCGACGTAGCCGGCCCATGCCGGTTCATGCCCCGAGCCGCCGCCGCCGATGATGCTGACTTTGGACCTGTCGTGGGAAGAATCATACACGACCCTGTTCGTTTCGTCGAAACTCAGGCTAGGATCGTAGGCAACAATCCCCTTGAGTGCCTTGTTGACATGGCCCTCGGCCGAGTTGAAGAGGTGACGTTTGGTAATGATGGTAGCTTCAGTATGCAACTGACCGCCAGACCCGAGGACAATGGCCTGTCTGCGAAACAGAGTCAGACACAAAGCTGGTTAAAAGACGGGGCAGCTCCCCCGAACCCGAGAGCTTGTTTGGATCAGGGCAAGGCGAGTTTCCCATGTCGGTGGTAACATGTTGCCCCGGACCGGCTTCCTACCGTTTCATCATGCCGTCGTACGTGGTCCGTTGCCAACCTGCGTCCGCACGCAGCTTCGGCAAACGTTGATCCAAAGTCTGATGCGTCCCTGTGCCCCCTCAATGTTGCTCTCGTGACGTCTACTACCGCGCCGTCAACTGGTTGGCGATGGCGGCCCCCATGTTGACGACTAACACGACCGGGTGTCCTGTTTCGGAAAGCCGCCGTTGCAACCGCCCAGCCTAGACAAGACACCACTCCAGACCGTGTCCTGACATATTTCCACAACGGAAACTAAGATGAAATTGGCAGGACTGGCTCCCAACAGCCGCCATTTGACATTGCGGGGATGCAAACCCACGCCCGGGTTCAAACAGGCATGCTTGCAAGGCCGGAGGGCCGCGGGATGGACGGCGGCCACGAGGACAGAGATGTAGATGGGCCTCCCTCCTGCCCGTCTGCTTCTCCAACTGCTGTTCTTCTTTGGCGTAAAACAGTCGAATCGATAGACTCTGTGTTTTAAGTCCCCCCGTCGTTCGGTATTTTGTCCCGCTTTCCCCATCCCATGGTTCGGAGCAGATTCGAAACCCGGCAATTGCCACCGACATGGAGGATCGTCATGGGCTGTGATGTAAGTGGCCGTGGCGACGAGCGCCCCAAACCACCAACGACGAGACGCGAGCTGAGCAGGAGAGTGGCAGGATGCCGGCGTCGCCTACAAGGACGCCATCAAGCGCGATTTCGAAGCCGACAGCCGCGTCACACACGTCATCGACGTCGGCGCCAAAGAGCCCAGCGACAAGACGGCCTATCCCCTGCGCGCAGCCGCCGCCGCCCGCATCGTCGAGCGTGTCGTCGGGCTTGAACTCGCCCGAAGGCTGGCCAGGGAGTGGCTCGGCTATGAATTCGACACGACGACCGCAAGCGCCAAGAAGGTTGATGAGATTATCAGCCTGGAGGCTTGAGAGGGGCTGCTTCGGGGCTGGCACGGCAGCGGGTGGTGTACGTTTCAACATGTTTTATTTTCGTGTAGACCGTCGTAGCCGGCCCGGAACGAGGAAGCATCATATTTGAGATGCCGCTCCGGTTGCGGCTCCGGTTCCCGGGTTTCCCAAAGGGAAAGAAAGCTCTCCTGAAAGATTGCTCGGCACCGGAGGACGCCGGTCCGTCCTCGGACGGTCCGCACGAATGCGCGAACCCAAGTTCCGGGGTGTCTGGTCGCATGGGCTGCAAACTTTTCATCTACATTTCAATACGTGGGAAAGCGCGCGCTCAGGATAAGAATCACCAGACCACGTCCGCGTCCGCCTTCCGAGCCAAAATTCGTATCCGCCGGCTTGCCAGACATTTCGGGGGGGGGGGGGGGGGT